TTCAACTGGCCTTCACCAAGTATCTAACATTTTGCAGAGAAACAAGTGTGTGTATGTGTGGCAGTGGGGGGATTGTTGGGGAAGAGGTGATAATGACATTTCTTGCAATATTTGTAATATTTGCAAAGGAAAATAAATGAGTAAGGTAAGTGAAGTACAGTCTGTGATGAAGGAATAATGAGTCATTCAATGTGACTATAATATAGAGTTCAAGAACAGATGTGTCAGGACATAAAGTTGAAAGAATAAAGTGTACCATATTTTGAAGAGCCTTTAGTATCATATGAAGTAGTTAGCATTTGTCCTACGAACAATCACATTATTATGTAGGAGAGAGGTAGATTGCTCTGTATTTACAGGGCAGAGTATAGCCAAGAAGGCCTGCAAGACTAGAGGGCAGGGAGAAGCCACTACCCGTGTCCAGACAAGCCATGCGAGACCTGAACTAGGACAGTAACCATGGTGTGGAGAGGAGGGAACAGATAAAAGACAGACATTAAATTTATGAGATGCCTATGGCACAGCTTGGAAAATCATTGAAATTTTTGAGATTTCTGGTCTTGATGATGCTTTTAGTTGAGATAGATGACAGAGTAAGAGGATTGTGTTTCCAGGAAGGAGCTCGTGTGTTTTAAAGAATGTTGAGGTTAAGATTTCTATGGGCACCCAAGTGGAGATGTTCTGCTAATTGTTAGGTATGTCAATTTAATGTGCAAAAAGTGATAGAATTGGCAGTGGATAATTTGGGAGTCAGCATAAATGAGACAAAACCCCATGAGAGTGAGTTAGCTCTCCCGGAGTGAGAAGAGTACTGAAAACATAACTCTGGAAACACCAACATTTATGGTCCAGGTAAAAACATAAGAACCCTCATGGAGATAGAAAAACAGTGATCACAGAGGTAGGAAGAGAAATATAATTTTGTTTTGAGACAGAAGATTTCAAGGAAGAAGGAACTTCCATGGAGATCGAATTGGAACAGGGGCAAGTTGCTGGGGTTGTCAGATTTAGTAAGTGAAAATACAGGAGATCCAGTTAATTTCATGTGAAATTCAAATAAAAGATTATACAAATAATCTTTTTAGTATATATATCCCAAATATTGCATATAGCTGGGGATCTTTTATTTCATCTGTTAACCCCATGAGTTGACTGAAAACTGGCCAAAAATCATTGGCTTTTTCAGTTAGAAAGCCACTGATGTTCTACGCAAGGGTAGTTTCACCACAGCAGTGTGGGCAGAATCTGGAAATCGGTCAGCGGATGAGGAAAAGAAGACGGTCAGGAAGTGAAATGGATGAGGGAATCTGTTTGGTGGAGGATTTGGTGTCTAAGGAAGGTGAGAAATAAAAAAGAAACCTGAAAAGAAGAAAAAATTAGGGAAGATGTTTTGCTTTGTTTTAGAAAAAGAGGGCAACTTCCATATTTGTAGGCTGACAGGAATAAAATAAAAAAAAGGAGAGAGGGAGATGAATGAATGAAACAAGAAAGACAGGTAATTGCTGGAGTGAGATTCTGAGGATCAAGAGAACATTTGAGGGGCCAGCCTTGCACAGGAGGTAGGACAGCTTTCCCACGGGGCTGAGAGAGGAGGAGGAAGAGTAGGTAATGGTATCGATAAATCTGGACGTGCAGGAGGGAGGCTGAAGGAGTTTGTGCATGACAGTCTCTCCTTTTTTGTGTGTGTGGGCTAGAGAAGTTCATCATTTGATGAGAGCTGGTAGGAGAGCATTTGTAAGAGCAGGATGTTGAGCCTAAGGAAAATGGTCAAAGAAAATATCTTGGGTGCTGGAGAGGGGAGTCTAAAGGCATGGGTCTGACAAAGCATTATCTGTTGACTGAGGCTAAAGCATACTGGAGTGTATAGATAGGAATATTTGGTGGCGAAAGGGTATTGCCTTAGGAGGTAGATAGGTCTGGGTATAGACCCTGGCTCTGTCTATCTATGTTTATCACCTTTTCCTGGGTCATGCTGTGTAACAAATAGCTCCAAGTCTCAGTGGCTTACAAAAGCAAACATTTCTTTCTTTTTTTTTTTACTTGTTTTAATTATTTATTAATTTTCCCTGTGTTTTATTCCCTCTCTCTCTCTTTTTTTTTTATTTCGGCATATTATGGGGGTACAGATTTTAAGGTTTCAATAAATGCCCATTAAAAGCAAACATTTCTTTCTTTTTCATATTACATGGTTTTGGCCACAGGTCAGTTGTAGCTCTTCCTTAGGCAGTGGTAAAATTCAGGTCCTCTTTTTACTGTAGGACCCAAGTTAATGGAGCAACAGCTTTTGTGACATAACTTCTCATGACAGAGGGCATGGGAACAAGAAACCAAGCTGAACCGTGCAATTATGTTAAAAGCCTTTGCTTGTTCCATTGGCCAAAGCAAGTCAAATGGCTAAGCCCAATATCTATGGAGTAGGGATATACTCCACTATGGGGATAAGGACGTGAATATTTACAAATAATAATGCAATCTACCACATCATCTAAAGATTTTGAAACTCTAGGCTTCAGCTTTCTGGGCTTCAGTTTCCTCATGTGCAATGTGATATTGTCAGCATTTGTTTCCTAAAATTGTTGGTAGGCAGAAATAAGATTAATGTGTATATAAAACCTGTTATGGCACATAGCATGTAATGATATTTTATGCATAGGAGATTGCCTTGCCTTGGTACTGAGAATAGTACATAGCTCCATGATCATAAAAGATTAAATTAAACTTTCTGCTTCACATTTTCCTTCTGTGAAATGACTGGATGACCTGTAGCACCCTTCCTGGCTCTAAAATCCTCTGCCTCTAAAAATCTTATACTGAAGAATCAAATAGCTCCTTACTCTAAAAGTATCTCCTGGCTTAAGGGGAAACCTCAAGTTTGTCAGTGGTTTCATTTGGCTTGCATTTCCTTGGCCCAGCCAGCTACCAAGGGCAGAGAGAAGACTTGTTCAAATAAACCTAAGAAATCTATAGGAACCAAAGTGCACAGCAGATCATCTTGTCATCCGTTAGCGACACTGTTGAGCTTACAGAAAGGGTGACGCTTCACAAAGAAAGGTCGAGATATTCTCACTTCACCTGGAGGAGTTTAGCCACCTTGAATAACAAGCTGTGCTGCTGAGATGTGAGATCTGACAGTGAGTGAGGAAATTGTTGAAGAGGAGGCTCTGAAAATGCCCGGAGACTTCCCAGGTGTCACCTGCTGCCTTGTAAATGTGTGAACGCCTTGGAAGGGTGTCTGGCAGAGCCCCAGAAACTACCCACCGTATGCCATTGACCGATTCACAGAGCGGAAGAAGGTAGAGGCATGTCTGAACAATATTCAAGTGACCAGTTATATCAATTAGGATTGTGATGGCTGCAAGATACAGAGACCAGACCAGAAGGGCTTATACGGGACAGAGGTTTCTTTTCCCAGGTAACCATACCTCTGCAAGTAGACAGTCCACTGCTTCATAATAACATCAATGTCATGGCCATTTCTGTTGTGGGTCAGTCTAGAAGGTGTGTATGAAAAGATTTACTAGGTGGCAGACTGAAATGTAAACTTAGACCCAAAGACTTCAAAGGTGCATTCCAAATTTTACTTATAGTTTAAGGGGGTAGGGTTACCAAGTGCATAATCTAAATATCTAGCTTTAAAACCAAAGAGAGTTAATTGGTCCAATAGCTAAGTACTTACGATGGGTTCTAGTATGGTTTGGGTTTGTAAATAATAAAACAAAATACAAGTCTAGTACAAGTTTAAAAGGAAATGGACTTAGTATAGAAAGGAAAGAGTTTATTATATGCAGGGAAAAGCTGGTAAAAAAAAATCATGGCAACCTTTCCTCCATCTTTGTCTAAATATTATTTCTACTGAATAGCCATCACCCTCCCCAATCCCTCTAGTTATTCTAATTTCCACATAGTATATTAAAAATATTAAAAATCATTTTGATTTTTAATAAACACTGATCAAATATCACACCTATGCTTAAAACTCTCCAATACTTCAATTACATTTAGAGCAAAATCCAAACTCCTTCCCCTGGCATACTTGATACTCCTGTCCCTTCTTTTCAACCCTGCCCTGTGCCACTGTCCTCTTATACCCTGTGATCTAGTCACACTGGCCTCCTTTCTGTTCACGCCCCTGCTGGTTTCTGTCTCAGGGACTTGGCATTTGCCATATCCTTCACGAGAGCCACTCTTCCCTCAGAGGAGAGGGACCCTTTCAATGCACATGTCACCTTCTCTGAGATCTTTTTCCTGATCACTCTCATCTGAAATAGCCCTCCCCAACCTTCTATTCATTCTATTCCATTATCCTGGTTTTTTCTTTCTTTCTTTTTTTAAGACAAAGTCTCACTTTGTTGCCCAGGTTAGAGTAAGTGCCGTGACGTCAGCCTAGCTCACAGCAACCTCAAACTCTTGGGCTCAAGCAATCCTCCTGCCTCAGCCTCCCGAGTAGCTGGGACTACAGGCATGCGCCACCATGCCCGGCTCATTTTTTATATATATATTAGTTGGCCAATTAATTTCTTTCTGTTTATAGTAGAGACCGGGTCTCGCTCTTGCTCAGGCTGGTTTCGAACTCCTGACCTCGAGCAATCCGCCCGCCTCGGCCTCCCAGAGTGCTAGGATCACAAGCGTGAGCCACCGCGCCGGGCCCATTGTCCTGTTTTAAAAATGATTGTTACCACCACCAGAATGTATCTTAGGTTTTTGTTTGTAGTTTTATCACCTATGGTAGACCGTAAGCTCTCTGAGGGTAGAGGTTGGCACATGTATACACTCAGTAAGTATAGATGCTCCTCTACTTACAATGGGGTTACATCCTGAAAAATCCAATTCAAATTGAAGATATGGTAAGTTGAAAATGCATTTAATACACCTAACCTACCGAATGGCGTAGCTTAGTCTACCCTACCTTAAATGTGCTAAGAACCCTTATATTAGCCTACAGTTGGGCAAGATCATCTAAAACAAAATTCATGCTATAGTAAAGTGTTGAATGTGTCATATCATTTATTGAGTACAGTACACTGTAGAGTATCAGTTCTTTATCCTGGTGATCACATGGCTGACTGGGAGCTGCGCTGGCTGCCACTGCCCGGCATCACCAGAGCATGTCATACTGCTTATCAATAGCCTGGGAAAAGATCAAAATTCAAAGTATGTTTTGTTTTTTTTTAATATGTATTGCTTTTGCACCATTGTAAATTTTGGGAAAAAAATCCTAAGTTGTTAAATAAATAATTACACAATCAAGTGTTTTAGGCTCTTTAGTCATTCAGAAAAGAGGGATATTATTATATAAACTCATGAGTCAAGGACCTCATCTTGGAGGAGAGGGGGATGGGCTGGGCTCAGAAGACAGAGAAGGAGAAGGCATGGGTGTGGTTAGGGGTGGGGAGGCAGTGTCTCTGTGGTTATTCTGTTTCTTACTAGTGCCCACCTCTCTACCCTTGGGAGGTCTCAGATAAACCAACCTTCCTTAAGGAAATAGGACCACGGGCATGGAAGCAAAATACCCCGATGACTTCATCAAAAGAAAATATATGACTCTTGCATAGACCAAAATAAATTCCCCAGACTGAGGGGGAGGGGCTGAGGGACAGTTCTTGAGCTGAAGAGAAAGTCCAGGACCTTCCAAGGCATTCTGTGAAAAATGCTCTTTGGATAAAACTGCAATTTAAAAATAACTTCTGTTGGGTGTGGAGAGGAGAATAACTCAAATATTGGGGCCAGAAACCTAGAGTAAGGGCCAAATTTGGGCTAAGAAAATGCTAGATTCTTGAGATCTTTGGAAAGCAACTCCCCTCCCCCCATTTACGTACAATAAATAAAGTTTCTAAAAAAACGAATACAAGAAAATCAACAATTTGTTATTTTTAAGGTGTCAAGACAGTATGCCAATAAATAGATCATCTTCCAGTATGACAAGGGAAGAAAAAAATATCTAAGAAAAGTCTAAGATCCAAGTTTAACAAATATGACACTACTGGAGAACAAGATGGTATCTAGAGAACGGCCAAGTGAGGCGGTTCTGACCATTGGTGCAAGGAGCGTAGGCATCCAATGCAGCAGAGATTGAGAAGTGGCACGAGGTGCAGGCTCACCTGGGGGGAGAATCCAGCTCTGCCACTCTCACTGTGTGACCTCAGGTAACCTAATTCACTTCTCTGACCCTCAGTTTCTTCATCTTTAAAATGGGAAAATTCATACCTACCTCTCAAGGATATGGTGGAGATGAAACAAGGTACTGCAGAAAAACTATCTCACAGAGCACCTGAATGTTAGACAGCTTTAAAAAATCTTGGAATTCCATTTCTCTATCATTGCTGTAAGAGGGCTGGAGAAATTGAAGAGGTTCAGAATTTGACAAGTTTGTGAAAGCTGAGCCCTTAACATATTTTCATTCGCAAATATGTATTAAGTTCTATTTGTAAGACACAGTGATAGAGAAGATGTAAGATAAGATTCTTGCTCTCCTAGTTAAGGAGTATAATAGTTAGTGATTGCCACAATAATGATGTGGGGAAAAAATCAGAAAACTTAGTGGATTAAAACAATTAGCATTTATTTAGCTCACAAATCTGCATGCTGGAGATTTAGGCAGGGCTCAGCTGGGCAGTTCTTCTGGTTTAAGCTCATATATGTCTGGGAGTCAACTGACTATTGGTTGGTCTAGAGTGGCCTCAACTGGCATGACTGACTGGTCAGCTTGGCTCTGTTCCACGTGTTCTGCCTCCCAGTAGGCCAGCCGGGGTCTGTTTTCACGGTGAAGGTAGAGGAACAAGAGTGAGCAAGCCCAACTGTGCAAGTGCTTTTAAGGCTTTGTCTGTGTCACACTTACTGACATACTATTGGCCAAAGCAAGTCACAGGGTCAAATACAGAGTCAGAGTGGGAGGGGAAAATACACTTGTGTGTTAAAGGATGTGGAGAAAGTTGGCGGTAAAGAAATGAGGCCATTAATGCAATTAATCTACTGCAGATGGAGTGTCTTGAAGCTAGAAGAGTGTCAGCCTGGATGCTGGAGACTACCTCAGCAACACAGAGAGGAAGAAGCCAACCCAGGAGAAAGCACTGCCAAGACCAAGAGGAGGTCGGGACCTACAGGACGCCATCGAAGTATCTGGATCTAGCAGGAACTCAATCCAGCCCTGCCCCTGGACTTTTCTGTTATGCAAACTAGTAATATCCCTTGTGTCTTTCAGGCCAGTTTGATTTAGATTTCTGTGTTTTGCAACCTAAAAATATCTACTGCATCCAGCATTAAGAAAATCTGACTCAAACAGATAAGTAATTGCAAGTAGTTTTAAAAGCAGTTTATCTTGTAAGGTCAGAAAATTCTTTTAAAATGATAACAGTAGATTTATTCCAAGATTTATATATGCTTGCACACAAAAGTAATGAGACAAATGAATATGTATGTTAAACTCAAAGGATTAGAAATTGATATATAGTACATTTTAAGTTATATTTGTTTGTTGTAGATTTTGAAGTGATTTATGGGTAGTTAAAAATGAAATTCGAAGAATATTTTTAGGATCCATGAGATATCCTTTGGATTTCTTTCGTTCTCAGGATATGGTTGAAAAAGTATTGACAGAACAAAACAGGAAGGTATCTAAAGAATATTCTAGGCCTGTAACACTTGTGTTTTACAACCAGAACAAAACATTACACACACAGTGATCTTGGGACCCATTATTGAGACTTAATCAGTATCTTCGAATGGGGTCCATCATGTTATTCTTCTCTCCTGGAAAAGGGTGGCGAGGGAGGGATCTTAGCAGGGAGGAGAGAGGCTAGGACCTTTTACTTCCTTCCTCCTCCAGCACCAGTGTTCTAAAAGTATTTGAATATTTTTGCAAAATATAGTTCATTAAGAGGTGTTCACAGAAACAGCAACAAAATCCAAAAGCTCTTTGTTGTATAAGTTTTTGTTTTTTTGTTTTTTCCTGCAAACATACAAAGTCATTGACAAGCCATTCATGCTGATGAACAAAGATAGAAATTTCCTCTTTGAGCCAAACATTGTTTTGGGGGCTTCTTAAGAATAGGAGATAAAATAAATATAAAGTCATGGCATTTTATGCTATTGACTCAGACCATGAGTTTATGGAAAGCAGGAGTAATGCTTGCCTCTTCGGACAGTGTCTGAGACAGGTAAGCAAGAATGGGAACTTCTTCTTCTTTTTTGAGACAGAGTCCCTCTGTGTTGTCCTGAGTAGAGTGCTGTGGGGTCAGCCTAGCTCACAGCAACCTCAAACTCCTGGGCTCAAGCAATCCTTCTGCCTCAGCCTCCCAGGTAGCTGGGACTACAGGCACGTGCTACCACACCTGGATAATTTTCCTATTTTTCATAGAAATGGGATCTCGCTCTTGCTCAGGCTGGTCTTGAACTCCTGAGCTCAAGCGATCCTCCCACCTCAGCCTCCCAGAGTGCTAGGATTACAGGTGTGAGCCACTGGGCCTGGCCAAGAATGGGAACTTCTTTTCTAAAACCATTTGTATACCCATAATGATGAAAATGGGCGTAGAGGATTCTAGTCTTTTTGTGGTGACCTCTGGAAATCTCAAACAGAAAAGTTTAGAGGTCTAATCCCCAGGGACTTCTACTGTTACCACAAAATAAGGTTAATTAAAGGAAGCTGGGATGTTTGGGAGGTTCTTCCTGAACTGTCTGGGACTTCAAGACACTAAAAATGGAAGAGATCTTAAACCTCCACTCCAACTTCCTCCTACTGTAGGATTTTTGATTTTTTGTCTTCCTGGAAGCTCCTTTCTTTGCTCAGAGAGGGGAAATCTGTTGTAAAGGAATACAGACTGCCCTGCCAGAACCTATTGTTTCCACCACCAGCGATGGAAGTAGGGGTGAGTGGATCTTGAGGCAGGCACTTGTGGGATAAATTTGGTGATCTTCCATGCATACAGGGAGAAGCATGGTCTGGACAGGGTCCTGTGATCAAAGAAGATCAGGAGTTCTAGGGGATTTTAGAAGATGAGAGCTTTGGTATTATTATTTTTCAGTTTACTTGGTATCCACATAAGAACAGAGTACATACATAACAAAATCAAAAACAAAATGAGATGCCAAGGTAGTCCTAAGACTGCAAAGTATAAGCTATGGGAACAAAACAGCAACTGCTCCCAGACTCACGTGGCTTCAGTGTCTCTGCATGAAGATGGGCAGGAGCGAGGGGGCGTCTCGTAGAGCTGAGACAGGAGAAACCCCAAACAGGCAGCAGGTACTTCCTGGAGAACAGATGAACCAATCTGAGGGTGGTAGCTGGAACTAGGAGACATTCTTCCCAAGCCAGCAGTGGGGAAGTGTAAGGAAGCCAAGAAAAGGGTGGAGGGCTGGAGCAGTCTAGCCCCTGTGAACTCCCCAAACTAACTACCTTGGCTCCCCTTCCAGGACAGGGGTCCACACGGCGGGAGAATAAAAATTGCTGCGAGTAGAATAAAAATTGAACAGGATACAGACAATAGAGAGGGCCTGGGCACAGTGGCTCACATCTGTAATCCTAGCACTCTGGGAGGCTGAGGCGGGAGGATTGCTTGAGGTCAGGAGTTGGAGGCTGCAGTGACCTATGATGATGTCATTGCACTCTAGCCCAGGCGACAGAGCAAGACCCTAGCTCAAAAAAACAGACAATAGAGATGAAAAAAAGCAAATGCAGTTAAAACTTGGGGGTGGGGGAGGAGAGTGGGAAAATCTGAGAAAGCAAGGCAGAAAAAGAAAGAATTGGGGGAGGGGGTAAGGTGGTGATGGAGGCTGTAGATTAATATATTAAAAGAGACATGCAAGACATGTGCCAAAGAATAAACTATAGTGTCTTAGGGATGCACCCTGCATGATGAAATGAAAGGGAAATCCAACAAAATTATGCCCACAGAAGTCAAGATTATGGTTATTTTTGGTGGGTGGCTATGATTTGATGGGGCCCACAGTGGGCTTGGAAGTCAAAGTGTGTTACAATTCAGGGCTGAAAAATAACTTTAAAAATATAGATTATTAATTTCTTAAAAGGCACTGTGAGTAGCCATCTTATTAAGTTGTACTGTTTCTGAGAAATCGCTTGTTTTGGGCTGTTTCTATTTTTGAAATGTTAAAACATTTTGATGCTCTTTGTGTATAAAAGTAGTGCCTCTATTTATGTAATTGGTGGGGTTTAAAAAGTAGATAAGTTGATTTTTTTGGTAAATTTATTTTAAATGCTTTACTATTTAAAGGGTATATGTTATTAATTAATCTATATATTTAAGAACATTTTGTAAAGCAAATAACTACTTCCTGATTTACATCTCAATATATTCTTGCTTCATTTATCCGGTTTTTAAAATACATAATCCCTATTGGTGCTATCTGATAGTAGTTTTAGATCCTAATATATATTAGAATTACTGCTCTGAAAAGCTGCAAGTAAAATGGAACAACTTGTTGTTGAAATAATGTCTTTTTATTAAGTTTTTGAATATGTAGTGTTGACACCTTATTAAATAAAATTAGATGTGAAAATTAAAAAAAAAAAGAAAGAAATTCTATTTCTTGACTTGGTGGTGACTACAACAGTGTGTGTCTTATAACAACTCAATGGACCATACAGGAGCCTTGTAAGGTTTTCTGAGTCTGTGTTTTATTTTGCCATAAACAAGTAGTACAAGCCATGGGCGTTAAGGGGACCTCAGGTAGCAACTAATACTAATATACTAATACTAAAGCCAGTGTAATTCTAGCTAACATCATTGAACAACATGCTGTGCTAAGTACTTGACCACAGTAGTTAGGTGCTCTGAGTTTAGAGGCAAGTGTCTTGCTTAGTTTCCTTTACTAGCTGTGCGACTTTAGGCAAGTAACTAATGGACTGTGAGCCTCTGTAGCCTCATCTGTAAAATGGGGCAATGGTGTGTCTCTTATAAGACCGTAGGGGTAAGGTTTGCATGTAAAACCCTCAGCACAGTGGCTGGTACAAAGTATGTGCTCCGTAAATGATAGCCATTGTTACTTCCATGTGGGGTGCTGTTATTACTCTCATATTATGAGTGAAAAAAATTCAGGCTCAGAGAGGTTAAGTCGTGGAATTACTCAGTGCTGAATCCAGGCTCTCAACCTTTCCCTTCTGCTCCTCCAACTCATTAACTTTCTTCTAAAGAAAAATAGTGCAATGGCAAATGACAGCGACCTGGCCTGGTGCCCCAGTTCTGTTTTGGAGGATATCTAGGGTCTTGCTCCCTCCCCTGCCCCAACACATGGTGTTGCAATTTCACTGCTAGAAAGGGAGATCGGGGGTGCTGTCCACCACGCAGCTGCCTGGAGCATTCTCGGAAGAGAGGGTGAAGGCAGGAAGGATGCAGGCGGTGCAGCCTCTTCGGTGGAGGCATAAACAAGTCCCCACGCCCAGAGAGGCCAGGAGCCCCGTGCAGCAGCTGGCTGGATGCGTCACACAAGTCTGTCGTGCTGAGAGAGAAAATAAGTGGCATTCCTCTGTGCTGAAGTTTAAGTGTAAACAAGCAGTTTCATGGTAATTACCAAATATTAGAAATGTATTGTTCCTTCCCCACTCCCAAGACACTTCTGGGCTCTCCAGCTGTGCTAATAACTCTAGGTGCACCATTTCCAGGGCCAGAAGTATTGTTCCAAGTCAAACGCTCTTTGTCTGTGTTTGTTCTTGTTTTCCATCAACACTTGAAACCTGGTTCACCTAGGTTTTAACGGGGCTCTGTGCTTTGTTTGGAAGCAAGGAGAAGGCAAACAGAAGCCAGCATTTGGAGTTAAGAACTTAGATAAAAATCTTAATTCTCGGCCGGGCGTGGTGGCTCACGCCTGTAATCCTAGCTCTCTGGGAGGCCGAGGCGGGAGGATGGTTTGAGCTCAGGAGTTCGAGACCAGCCTGAGCAAGAGCGAGACCCCATCTCTACTATAAATAGAAATTAATTGGCCAACTAACATACATAGAAAAAATTAGCCGGGCATGGTGGCACATGCCTGTAGTCCCAGCTACTCGGGAGGCTGAGGCAGGAGGATTGCTTGAGCCCAGGAGTTTGAGGTTGCTGTGAGCTAGGCTGACGCCACGGCACTCACTCTAGCCTGGGCAACAAAAAAAAAAAAAAAATCTTAATTCTCTGATGCTTGTCTCTCAAAGGAGGAGGTCATACTTACTTCATGGAAGGGTTGGTGTGAAGATGACCGACGAAATACGTGGAAAGAGACTGGTATAGAGGTGGGCACACACTAAACACCTTTTTTTTTTCTGGTCTCAGTTGGTGTAATGATTTTGAGGTTTATCCATGTTGTTGTGTACATTAGTAGTTCATTGCTTTTTACTGTTGAGTTAGCATTTCGAGGTAAACCATAATATATTTATCTTTTCACCTGATGATAAAAATTTGGATTGTTTCCAGTTTGGGGCTATTACAAATAAAACTGCTATCCATATTCACATACAAGTCTTTGTATGGGCATATGCTTTAATTTCTCTTGCATAAATACCTAGGGGTGCCATGGCTGGGCCATGTGGTAGGTATATGTTTAACTTTCTAAGAAACTGCCAAACTGTTTTCCAATGTAGTTGTTCCATTTTACCAGCAGTGTATGAGAACTTCAGTTGCCCCATGTCCTTGGCAATGCTTAGTGTGGTCAGTCTTTTTAATTTTAGCCATTCTAACAGATGTGTAGTAGTATCTCATTGCCTTATTTGCATTTACTTAAAGATAATGATGTTGATCATATTCGTAATATGCTTATTTGCCATTTATTTATCTTCTTTGGTAAAATATCAGTTCAAATGTTTTATACTTTTTTAGTGTGTTGTTTGTTTTCTTATTATTGGGTTTGAGAGTTCTTTATATATTCTGAATATAATTCCTTTGTCAGATATGTGATTTACAAATATTTTCCCTAATCCCGTGGCTTGTATTTTCCTTCTCTTAACAGGGTAATTCTAAGAGCAAAAGTCCTTAATTTTGATGTAGTACCATTCATCAATTTTTTTCTTCCATGAGTTGTGTTTTAGGTGCTGAATCTAAAAAATCTTTGCTTAACCCAGGGTCACAAAGATTTCCTACCATGTTTTCTTCCAGAAATTTTATAGTTTTAGGTTTTGTATTTAGGTCTATGATCCATTTTGAGTTAATTTTTATATATGGTGCAAGGGATGGACCAAGTTCTGTTTTTTTTTTAAATAAGATATTTATGTTTTGGCACTATTTGTTAAAAAGATTATTCTTCCTCCACTGAGTTGCCTTTGCACCTTTACTGAAAATCAGCTGTTCATATATCTGTTGTGTCTATTACAGGACTCTTTTTCTGTTCCATTTATCTGTCTTGACACCAACACAATATTGACTTGATTAGCATATCTGTATAAAAATTCTTAAAATCAAGTAGCGTTAACTTCCAACTTTGTTCTTCTTAAAGTTGTTTTGTCCATCCTAGGTCTTTTGTATTTCCAGATCAATTTAAGAGTTAGTTTGTCAATTCATACAGTAAAATCGGATAGGATTTTGGTTTGGATTGCATTGAAACTATTGATTAATTTTGCATCTTCTGATCCATGAACATTGTATATATCACCATTCCTAGGTCTTCTTTCTTTCAGCAGTCTTTTGTAGTTTTCATTGTACAAGTATTATGTATTTTAGTATTTTGTCAGATATAATCCCTAACCATTTTATATTTTTTATACTATTGTAAATGGCATTATTGCTTAGTTTTAGCTCATAATTATTCATTGCTATTATATACAAATATAACTTTTATATTTATTTTGTATCCTGAAAGCTTGATAAACTTATTTATAACTTCTAGTAACGTTTTTGTAGGTTCCATAGGATTTTCTATATATATAATCATATCATCTGTAAATAAAGACAGTTTTACTTCTTTTCTAGTCTATATACCATTTATTTACTCTTGCCTTATTGCATTAGTGCAATATTGAGTAGGGGTGGTGAGAATTGACATCTTTTTCTTGTTCCTGATCTTAGGGGGAATGCATTCAGTCTTTCACTTAATTTTATCATTAGGCATGTATAAATATAGGTGTTTTGTAGGTGCCTTTTATCAAGTTGAAGAATTTCCCTCTATTCCTAGTTTGCTAAGAGATTTGTTTCCTTTCAAAAATTTGTAAAATGCTTTTCTGGATCTGTTTTGATGATTATATGTATGTATTTTAGTCTATTAATATGGTGAATTACATTGATTGATTTTTCAAATGTTAGACCAACTTTGCATTTCTTGGGTAGACTTCAGAATAATGCCACTTACTTGGTCATGATATATTATACTTTTTATATGCTTTTAGGTTTGATTTATTTTGGTTAAGATTACTTGCTCTATGATCTTAAAGAATATTAGTTCATAAATTTTTTATCTTGTAACATCATCATCTATAATGGTGAGCTCACAGAATGAGCTGGTAAGTATTCTTTTCTTTTCAATTTTCTGGAATAGTTTGGACATTATTTCTTAAACGTTTGCCAAGATTCCCCAAGGAAGTTATCTAGGCCTGGAGTTTGGTGTTTTGTTTTGTTTTATGTGGGAAGGTCTTTAACCACAAATTCAGGCTATTTCTCCCTGAGCAACACTGGGTAGATTTTGTCTTGGGTAGATTTGTAGGAATTTGTCCATTTCATTTGTTGTCAAATTTAGAGGAACTTATTATTTATTTTATAGGCATAGAGTTATCCATAATATTTCTTCTAATATCTGTAGAATCTGTAGCTCTGTCACTTTTCTGCTTCCTAATATTTCATAATTTATATCTTCTCTCTGTTTTGCAACTCAGTCCAGTTAGTGGTTTATCAAGTTTATTGATCTCAAAGAACCAGCTTGTTTTTTCAATGATTTTCTCTATTGTTTTTCTATTTTCTATGTCATTGATGTGTTAATTTATTTTTATGATTTCCTTTCTTCTGTTTACTTTGACTTTACCTTATTCTTCTTTTTCTAGCTTTGTTTTCTTCCCTGTGGAAGCTCAGGTCATTGATTTGAGAAAGTTTATTCTTTTCCAGTATGGGCATTTTAGAGCTATAAATTTCCCCCTAAATACTGCTTTAGCAGCAGCCCATAAATTCTGATATGCTATGTTTTCATTTGCATTTGGTTCAAAATACTTTCTCAATTCTCTTTGGATTTCTTCTTTAACTCAAGGATTATTAAGCAGTGTTTTATTTAGCTTTGTTTGGGGATTTTATAGATATCTTTGTATTGTTGATCTCAAATGTAATTCCATTTTAGTTGGAAAACATATTGTATGACTGGAATCCCTTTGAATGTATTAAGACTTGCTTTATGTCCCAGAACATGGTCCATCTTTGTAAGTGTTCCACATAGCTCTAGGTACCTTAAATACATTTTTATATTTAATATTTACAACAATGGTACTATCATTCCCATTTTAATAAAGAAGAAATAGGTGATACTGTCCTCCCCATTTTAAAGAGAAAAGGCTAAGAGTCAATCAATTTAAATAACTAAAATAATCAATGCCAGGAAGGTATTAAGTAGCAGAAAATATGCTCCAAGGCTGACACCCAAACCAAGCTATTAACCACTCTTCCATGGTCACCACACATTTGTCCCTCATAAGCTGAGTAGGACCACTCATTCTAAAGAGGCAGAGTTCAGATGCTCATTCTTTCTCTCTTAAAGTCTGGGCATCTATTTCATAAATTTCTCTTTCCATCATAAACACAATTGCACCAGTTGCTAACACAGACATAATGGTGAGTTCTGCCTGACAATTAGAGATGTGCAAACTCCCAATGCTTATTTGAGTCAGAAACTGCTGAGCCCTGCTGTTGACATAAGCTCAATTACTAGATCATTCCAATAACACCCAATTACAAATACTGACATCAGGTTCTTTTGCCTCTTCTTAGTATGTAGCAGGGAATGGTTGATTGCCTCTTAGAGCCCAAGGATGTTTCGGGAGCCTCTGGATTAGTAGTCTTTACTTGTATGTCTGTTGAATTTGCATAATAGCCTTCAAGTCACCCTGACTTGAAATGCCTTTTTCCTTCCTCCTCTCTTGAATCTAACAGTCAAGCTTTAAAAGCACGATCTTATTGCTGGCAAATGTAGCTGTAGTCCTTGCTCACTGGGATTGATGCCAATCTGGGAGCCTATTAGTCCCATTCACCAAAGGAGTTTTTGATCATCTGCAGCTTCAATTATCCAAGTGATCCAGCTTCTTTCTTTACTCCTATTACCACAGTAATTTGACTAGCCTGTTAAAGATCTTTCTGGCTGCATCCATGACCCTGCACAATGGGTTCATTTGAATAGATGTCTTCCAGGGGCATTTTCCTCTTATATACAAAGTCAATTTATAATAACTTCTACAGTTATTTGTAGGAGCCCACATTGTCCATGATTGACTGCTTCCTAATGCCACTTAGGCTAAAATCTGAACGGAAGGGAGTGTGCCGCCTGAGTGAGCACTTCATTCAGAGTGCCATTTTTCCACCACTTGCAATGCTAAAGAGCCAGCAACAAAAGAGGGTAAAGAACTCCTGGGGGATGTCCTTTACACCTAAATCTTGAGCTTCTCATTGAAGTAGACTGGTTTCTACATGCTAATTATTATCCTGCAGATTGCTAAGGAGTGAAAACTCATTGGTAAGAGTATGCAGTCTCCAGAAATTAATCTGTGGCACACAGCATCTGATTTTTTAATTTCTTCTGAGAAATGATGGAAAGCATGTAAAATAAAGTAGTTCTGTATCAACCTAAAAGCCTGAAGAAGTTACCATTCAAGATGACATAGCAACTACTTAAGCCTCTGGTCTCTTCTAGATGGAATCTACATGGTTGAAAGAGAAAAAAAATCATCTTTCCTCAAGACCCTATAAACTTTCGACAAGCCATTAGTCAGATTTTGACATAGTGACTGGTTCTTGTTTATTTCTTAAGACAGGGTCTCACTCTGTTACTCAGGCTGGAGTGCAGTGGTATGATCATAGCTCACCACAACCTCCAACTCCTGGGATCAAGTGATCCTCCTGCCTCAGCCTCCCAAGTAGCTGAGATGATAGGCACTAGCCACCCGGCTTGGCTTATTTTTCTTATTTTTTGTAGAGACAAGGTCTTCCTATGTTTCCCAACCTGTTCTCAGCAGAAAAACCCATTAAGATGAAAGGTGTCTGCTTCATAAGTAAAACCTGTCTTTCAATAGTTATATTTTTTTCTCTTCCAGAGCACAATGGCCAAGAAAAAGCTTCTTGGAGCTTCTTGCCAAACCAGCACATTTCTTCATGGCCGTAGGCAGCAGTGATCTTGGCCAAAGTCAATTTTTGTCTCTAGAGAATGGAAAGTAATGGATGAGAGAGGATCAAGCATGGAGATGGGATGGGGTGTGGAGTTATTGTCTTCTTTGGGGTCACTTGAGAAGGTAATTCCTGAGACAGGGCAATCACACCAGGATGAAGTGTGTTCACATTCTTGCTAACTGGCTAGCAGCTGTTTCCAGATGTCCTCCCATGCTGGTTATGTAAGCTGTGTGCTCAATCACATGCAAAGCCCTCTTCCACTCGGCTCAGCAGATGCCATCAACATCTCTTCATTCTGATGGGGACAGATTCTGTGAGGGCCTTCTAACTACAGCTCTGCCATGCCGGCCGCAAAGTCAGGGCTCAGAGCTCTCTGCAAAAGGCCACCCTCTGTTCACAGATGATGCAATGGGTCAGTGTCTTTCTCACCATAGTGACAGCTGTTGGCATGGAAACGGTTGTTCTTGCTTTTACACATCACCATCGTGCATCACCCAGGCTTCCCAAATGCCAAAAATATTTGCCTGTCTAGTATCCATTTCTTCTACCTCTAGGAAATGTATCAAGGTTTTCTTTGGGGAAAGATGTGACCCTTTCTGCATCTCTAAGTGTCAGCTCTGGGATTCTGCTGAATCGATTAGGAAAGTGAGAGGACTTTGCCGGCTGTTGTCAAACTGAGGGAATATGGGCCCAAAGATGTTGGTGGCTATCTTTGCCATAAGCACTGTCAAATATGCTAGAAAATAAAGACAAATCAGGAAAAAAAAAACAGATTTGAGGGACTGAGAGAGACACATTCATACTGATAAAATTTGAGCATCTGGATCAAGCCTTACCTGAACTTAACCACACCTCTGGACTTTTCAGTTCTATGAAACAATTTTTGCCTGTTCTTTTTTTTTTTTTAGTTGAGGTTTTTTTGAGTTTGAGTTGTATTTCTGCCACTTGCACCCCAAAATATCCTGATGAATAAACAGAAAAATCTTAATGAAATGTTCTCCCCTTAGAGAGATTTTCATAGGAATTGGGCATAATTAGACATACCTCTGAAAGTTCCAGCTTTGAACGGCCTGTATCTAGCACTGCCAGATATCATCAGCTCATTAACATGTGACTATTTATCAAGAGCCTACCTGCCAATCACTGTGCTGGGTACCATAGTGGGAGGGAAGAAGTCCCTGTCCTCACTGACTCTACGGTCTAGCCAGGAAGATAGAGCTAACATAGGCTAATACCTGAGCAGATGTTCTCACCTTCGGGCCCACAGCACGCTGATGAGTCACAATATATTATGAGGTGTGCCACAAGGAATTTGTGACTCACGAAGCTAAAGTACCAATGTTGGCAGATGATTTATAAAACAAACATGAATTAGAGTGGATTCAAGGTAAGCGCAATAATATTGTCATATTCACTCCCTTGGTTCTCCAGAATGTTTTCCTGAGTGGGAGAGAAAGGGTTGGCATAACAGCTATCGCCCACGAACCCCTGTCTCCAGGGGCGTGTTGCTCCTAGGGATGTCATCCGCCTTATGTGTGCAAGCAACGATACCGGTGTCAGCGTGGAGCAGTGGAGGGGCGCCAGCAGGAGCACCGCCAATGTTTGCTGTGCACGGATGAGGCACTAGGTACCGACAAGGGTCGTTTCATTTCATCTACACGAGAAAGCTCTATGCAGTTGTTTTCCTGCTTTGCAGATTAAAGAACAACTAACTGCTCAACAGAGTGAGTCTGTCTCGGGTGCTTCTGGAGTTCAGAGAAGGGAGAGATCAGGGCTGGCCGGAGTTGCTGGAAAACGTCCCAAGGAGGACGTGTGACTTAAGCAGGGCCATGAAGGATAAGGAGAATCGGCACAAGCAGAGGAGACGGGGCGGGCAATGCAGGCGCTGGTGTAAATGAGACACGAGCAGTCTGCTGGGCCAATCTCGTCTTCGGGGCACCTTCCGTGTAGATACCAGGACATTGCAGCACAAGTGTGACTGCCAAGCAGCCACTGGGCTATTCCACACACCCGTCTCTCCTCTGGGCCTTCGTCCTTGCTGTGGCCTTTCTCTCACCCCCATTGGCTAAGCAGCTCCTTAGAGATACTCTGGGCACACTGAGGTCCTTTCTACCCTCTCTTGGGAAGAGAAGATTCTTCCTCTCGGATGAGCAAAGCAAACTCTTCCTCCCTTGGCTGCCAGGTGCTGGGACTCCTCCTCTCAGCCCAAGCCCAGCTGCAGACTTGTCGCCATGCTTCCCTTCCGCCAGCCCTACATTCTAGACCAGCCCCTCCTGTGTGCCCAAACATAGCTGTCCCCTGTCCCATGCTCTCAGCTTCCTTCGTTCAGCCAGCCAGCCGGTCTGGTTAGCCCCGCAGCTGGCATCCTGAGATAAGACGCGACCTTGTCACTTTCCATGTCGAAATCTTTAAAGCTAACAATAAGCATTTACTAAATGCTTAGTGTGTGCCCAGCACCGTGCACACAGTTGCACACATTGCTTCGTTGAGTCTTCACGAGGAGGCTATGAAATGAGACTAGTATCATCTTCAGTTATCCTCAAACTAGGGCCTGCGGGCCACATGCCGCCCGCCTAGGACATTTATCCGGTGTGCCGTGTGTTTTGCCGCCGCTGCCTGTCCTTCTTAGCAGCCGACTTGTCCCGGGACCACAGTGCGCTCTCTCCAACGGTCTGAGGGACAGTGAACTGGCCCCCTGATTAAAGTTTGAGGACCCCTGAATTGTAACATGTTGCAGACGGAGACTGGAGCTCAGCGACATTAAGCAAACGAAGTGACGTTGGGAGCAAGGGCAGTGGCACGGTGCCAGACACCATGCTCTCCTGCCTCTCGTGCACCCGCTGTTGCCTTCGGAATGAAATCCCATGGCCTTGGCCCTCCACCATCAACTTTCTACAGCACCTGATGTCACATTCTGACCGCCGGACCAGACCAGGTCACATGCAGCACCTGCTTCTGTGCTTGCGCTCATGCTGGGTGAGCGCCCAGAACGCCACCGCCCCTGGCCAGTCGCCCCTTTAAAATCTGTGGCTTCCACGAGTAATTTCAATTTGTTTTCTCACTTCATTGTTGCCACAATTAATTTCAGTGTCTCCCAAGTGTGTCCTTCACACCACTGTCACAACGCCTCCCACCGTCCGCCTTGCTTTACTGTCACTTGTGTGTGGGTTACTTTATCACAAATCCCTAACGCGCAGGGACTGGGTTTTACTCTTCATGGTTTCCTATGGGTGCTTGGGTCAAAGCCCTGCTGTTGTGGGGAGGTTCGGTTCACTTCCTGCCAGAATGCAAGAGGTCCTGCCCGGAACTTCTCTCCACCTTCCTTCCTCCGAAGACTAGTCTTGTTTACGCACCTGCTTGTCAAATAGAGAGGAAGGGCTTAAGATGGAAGGGGACCGTGGCTGTTTCAGGAACATGGCAGTGAAAAGGCAAGCACTGTTTCTCCCCCTGGCAGGCTTAGTCCAGTGCTTTCTCTCTGCTCCGTCCCGGAAGTCCTGTGTTGTTCAAGCCCCCTGGCAATGTCAGCTTCACACCATGGTGGAAGTTGTCTTATGAAATCCCAAGGTGCATTCTCCTCCTGAGCTAAGGATTCTTAAAGTTAAGCTTATTTAATGGTATTGCATTTTAACAGGGATTCAGTTTCTCAAGATGATGATAATATGCAAGAGTTTCTGGAATCAACAAGAGGGATTTGGGGGGATTCAGGGAAAGGTCTTTTCTCTCTTGGAATTGCACCATGGAGGTGGACGCACACCCTGCTGGTGAGGAAGTCAGGAGCACGCCAGATCCCCTTTGGTCTGAGTGTCTACGATCATTTGAGCACGACAGTGAGAACAGCAAAGACACCCAGGGGACATCTTGACCAGCCTTCCCAGTTCACTAATGGAGAGAATGCCACCCCACCCCCACCCCCCCAAGAGAAGTTACTTTGCAAGCTGAGCCGAGCACCAGCTGGCCTGAATCTGGGCCCTTGAAACGCCCCAGAGCAGGAGGATTGCCCCACAAAAAGGGAGGGAAAGCAGGTTCATCCAGGGCCTTTTCCTGGAACTTGCCACTTATAATCACATCAAGGTGACTTATCATGGACTTGGCTCTGGAGCCCAGGAACAGAAATGAGATGAGGAAGGAAAGGCTGGGAAGGAGAGGCTTGCAGGGCAGGCAGGGGCAGCAAAAGTGGTGTTGGGTGGAAGAAGGGCCTGCGATCTATCATCCACTCAAGAGGCAGACAGCAGACTCGGCAGAGAGCTGCAGCAGACGCCTGCTCAGAACGGAGGCCCCAGAAGGGCAGGATCTTCCCGTTGCACCGTACCCAGCGTTCTCTGCTGGGTACACTCCCACTTAAAGACAGGGCCAAATGGGGTGGTTAGTCTAGGGCCACATGATAGGGGCAAGGGGCTTTCCTCATTTGTCTGCCATGACCCCACCTTGGACTGAGTCATAGAGATTCTAGAACCTTCCATCTGCATCCCTACATCTAGGGCACAATAGTGGATGCTCAATCAGTATTTATTGCATGAATGAGTCTCCTGGGAAGGATAATATATTAACATATTATCTGCTGCTAATAGCTCTGTGCAAATTAGTTTAAAATTAAAATGAACACTTCTTTGATACTTTGCAGCTTATTAATGTAGCTCGTGCAGAATCCCATTAAGTTTCCACAGCAATCTTGGGAAGGGTGCATTTGTGACCTTGAATATATTGCTTAATATATCTTTGGCTCGGTTTCCCCATCTATAGAATGGAGCTCCTAGTAGTTCCTGCCTCATAGAGATGTTGTTAGAATTAAGTGGCAGGATGCACGTAGAGCACTCAGAGTCCTCCCACGGAGACTGTGACCTCTGCGTTACTGGGGCCTGTCTCTGCGTTGCTAGCAGGCAGGCCCATAAACAGTGCCTTGGGATGTGGAGACAGAGCTGTGGCTCTCTTCTCACGGTCGCTGTGTGGGACCCCAGCCCGGCTGGCACACTGTCCCTCACCAAGACAGGATGCGGGCTGGTGGCCGCTTCTGGCCTCAAAAACATAGTCCAAGATTTTACTTTGGAAGGCAATAGAGATTCTTTTTACCTCGGCTGTTTACTTGTTCTGGGAGCATGGGGAAAGCTCTCTGGAACCTTCGGACAGTGTTACTGTAGGACTAGAAGGAGAAGCTGGAAGGACTGTGGGAGAAGAGTGTGGGGTGGGGGATGTGGTGGCCCCTACTTTCTAGCCCTGACGTTTGCTCTCCACGGTTCTCTTAAGCTGGATCTTCGCAAGGGCCCAGGGGCCTACTCCCTTCTCTCCACTCAGCCTGGTAAACCAGTCTCGGCTCTTCTGGCCCCACTTTTCTTCTCTGCACGAACCGTGTTGCGATGTCTCAGCAGGCCTTGCAGGGGATGGGCTTGGAAACACCAGACTGAAGGGCAAGGGGGACAGACACGGGGCACAGAGACAGGCAGAGGGGGAGGAAGTAAATGTAAAGGGAAAAAGGGAGTAGAAGTGGGGGGTGGGGTGAGAGTGATGAGAAAGGAAGATGAGTGGCCAGACGGGGACTGGGGACGGCAGTGCAGAGGGACTCTGAGTCAGGGGCAGTGGACATCGGGGCTTGCAAGCAGCCAGCCTGTGGGCTGAATCCAGTCAAACATAAATTTGGGGGCTCATGCAGGGTTTTAAAATTTGAGAAATTTCCCATAAAACCCAAGTTTCCAGCTTGATAGATCTGGTCGTGCTGGGTTCACATTTTTCCATGGCAACATGGGACAGAGCTGGGTGGCAGTGACTCCCTGTAGATGAGGAACAGCCCTCTCCTGTTTGCCGCAGTCCCCGCTGCTCTCTATTGCGACATTTATCTGCTTCCTTCACTTAAATGACCTGCCCAGTTTCTACAGGTACCTGAGTTTGGGAGCCTTCATGTATATGCATTATTTTTCGTATCAGAACCATCTCCTTCTTTTCCTGCCACGCCCCAAATGCGGACCAGAGCACAAAGGCAATAACTGAGGAGCGATGGTTTTGAAAGGAGGAGTAGAGAAGGGTGGAGGGAAGGAGGAGAGATGAGAGGGGAGGGAAAACTTGAAAGTGGAAAGAGAAAAGTCCAGGCCAAGGAAGCGGGAAGGCACACAGGTGGGGAGAGCAGGAGGAATTAGCATTCTCTTTTCCCGCCTGGCCCAAACGGTCCCCTAGATTTCCTTGAACAAAGCACGTAATCTTTGTGGGTCAGTAAGTTTCCTCATTAGCACAAGGTTGCACCAACACATTCATCGCCAAATAATGAACTTTCCATTGGGGCTCCTCAGAGTACATCAGCTAGAGATTCTTAAATAAATTAATCAATGACAACACACTATTTATATTAGCTTTCCTGGATGATTGATTTAATATTTATTGAGCTTAGAATTTGTGTTACCATGTGAACGACACCATCACTGCCTTCTCCCAGCTTGTATTAATTTCACAAAACAAAGTATTTGGTCCCAAGTGTTTCTGGGTTGAAGCTTTTATAAAGGGCGGTGGAGTTGTGTGGGTAGGGTAGGGAGAGAGAGAAAAGTGAGGTTTGTTGTCGATTGTGTCATTAAAACATCGGTCAATCTTCAACACCCTTTAAACGGTTCTTGTCTTCGTGACTATCCGATGTTTGCCAATATTGCAGCCGGATTTTTCTGTAAAAATGCCAAACAGTACGCTATTTCTGAAAGAAAGAGCTCTCCTGCCAAGCAGGTTAAAGGATTTTGTTTATTTGTTTGGCT